ACATGAAAGAAACATTTTCTTGAATCTCATTATTTTGGATGCCTTTAAGTGTGAAGCTTAATTTAAGAAAAGAGCTAGGGAGTTCTAAAATATCTTTCAATTGCTTACATTCTTTAGCATGATTTAAGTCACATTGTATCATGTTATATAAACTTTTATAAGCTATGTGATGTCCAGGCCAATGCTTTTTTCCCAAACGTACATTCATTACAACACCTTTAATATTAAATACCCTAGTTTTTGAAAAGTGTAGAGGATGGACTAGGATAGCAGACAGACGGAAACAGGAGGTACCTTAAGAATCTGCAGATTATTGATGGATATCAGCTGTAGCAGCTTTGCAGTTGTGTGACAGTTCTTTTGCTCAAGGGTGTATGCTTGGCAAGCTCTAAAATGTCGATGTTGGTCTGAAGACTTGTAAGAATAGAAATTACTTAGATATAAAATCTCCTTGTGTGAACATTTTCTTTCTTGTATTTCCTCAAAACCAAATGCTGCATTTGGATTCCTTTGCTATTTACCCAAAACATTCAGAACCTCAGGGCTAAACAAACAAGACATTCCCAGAATGCCCAAGTTTTCAGATTAAGTACATGAGGAGTGCTTTACTGGCATCAGAAAAGGAAATATGCTATCTGTGGAATTAGAGTATGGATAAATACATAATGAGTCAGAAAACAGGATGGTAACCTTCCTTTCCCTGATTATTCCTAATAAATCTATAAATTCTGTATAAGGATGATAATATTGCTTGGAAACACTGAACTGAGCAATGGGATTTAATGCAGCAGCCAGAGATATCTCAAAAATGACATTTTAACCTTGCTTTTGTTTGCAACATAGTTGCCAAAAAGTGAAGAAGTTAAACCACTTGTCAGACTCGAGTGCATGTATGATGTGCCTAAAATCTGAACTTACACTTTCATTGGAAACTAAAAGCAATTTTTGCTTAAGTAGGGAATAAATGGTAATAAACAAAAGGCAGAGATAGATCTAGGTCTAGCAGCAATCAAAATAAAGAAGTCTCCACTCAATCCAAAGCTGGAAATACTTTTTTATATCGCTTACAAGATGAATTTAGAGGCATTCCTATGCTCATTTGAGCTGAGATAGGGCAGTCTTTTGAAAAAAATAGTCATACAGTTTTATATCCACTAGCTACTATTGCTTGTGTTTAAAGTGAAATCTCTGTCTGATTCCTTGTGGAGGCCTTCCTGATATTCATAGATATTTGATGGTCCTTCTTTGCATCACATTTGTAATATCTGCATACAGCAGTGCACGTGGTGTGATTCTTGGGGCTCTTCAAGGCCAGGAGTAGGATTTCTAAGACCCTTGTGGTCCCTTCCAGCTCAGGATATTCTATGATTCTAATGTTGGTGTAACTGTGTAAAATTGCCCTGGCTGGAGCTTTACTATTTTTAAGCTTGGCCTGGCTCCCATCATGGCCAAGGTAGATAGCTGTAGCTCTCCAAAGCCTGGGGACAGCAAAAGCGCCTTGGTCTCGCTGCCTGTTTTTGTTATGTCAGAGCACTGAAAAGCCAGGAGACCTGATACAGACAGACGGATGCTGGTGGGGCTGGTGAAGGATCCCTCGCCAGCAGCACCACTCAGTGTTTCCTCCTTTGTATCCCTCATATTCCCGGCAGGTGCAGCGACACCAATTCTTTACATACTCCCCCATCTTCCCCCCTTCCTCTTTCCCTTTCAGGTGTCAGAAACTCCTTAACTTCTCCTCCTCTCTTCCTCACAGCAATCCATATCCTCAGTGTACATTTCAAATGTGCATCTACTGCAAGAAGTCTTGAATGGGCTCAGTGGTGAACTCCACAAATATCGTTGCAGGACATGGCCATGTTCAACACTCACAGCTGGCACTGTTTGACAGCTTCCCTCCCTATTGCTATGGTGGTCAGGCCCTGCCAAGAAAACCAGGTAAGCAGAGGAAGCAGGCTCTGAAGCTGTGATTCTTCTTCTGGCCCTGGCTGAGTTTTCCTTCAGTTTTAGCTGAATCTGTTAGCTACAGTGTGCTTTAGTCCTATTGATAGAATTGGGATTTCTGTTTTCCATCTCTGCATGGGTGTTGCAGAAGATAGGCTGCAAAAGGTAATGTGAAATTCTAGGTTCTGGAAGAAAAGAAAAACTGAGCACAAAAGAAAGGTAGATTTTCTGTTAGATACATGAATAATATGGTGCTCCACAGATAGTAATGCAAGGGCACACAAAGATGTAAAACAATAAAGATGGAGTTCTTAGTGCAATTCCACCAGTTACATTCTTACAGTAAACACCTCTGTGTATCAAAGGAACATTCACAGGCCTTTTCACTGAGTACAAGACTGCATCCTGGGTGAAAGCTACAACATTAAAACACTGGTGTGTAATACGTGATATGCAGGTCCCAAGAAGTGTGAAATTCATGTAACAACTTTTCTATAAAAATGAGCTTCACTGATCCCAGCACAGTAATAAATGGTAGCAATAATCAGAATATCAGTTGTATTTTGAGCTTGTACAACACTTTTACTTACAGTATTTTAAATCATTTTACAAAAACAATTATCTCGGCTTCTCAACCTACTTAGAATTACATTTAGTAAGTCCTTTATTTGTATTCTATGTATAGAATCAATGAAGTTCTGAAAATTAAATGATTTTCCATAAGATCATGAAGCATTCATTAGCTCAGACAAGGGCTTCTGCAAGATCTGGGTTCCACCCTTCTTAATTACTTCTGTTTTTCTAAAAGACATTGCTAGACAAACTGAAAAACTACAAATGGGAAAAAAATACCTAGGGAGGAAAAAATTTATCTTCGTCTCCTCTCCCATCCCAATAATAAAAGGAAATCATACCTGTGAACTGGATATGAAGTGAGATTTATGGAATTATTACTCTGCAATAGACTAAAAATTAGTTTCTGTGGCAACCACTGCACCTTCCAAAATATAGAATATCTTTACAATAAACATAAATACAGCACAAGAGTCTTTAGTTTATCTTTTATTATTTTAATAAGTAAGAATTTATGCTGCATACATTAAATGATCTTTCATATATTTTTAATGTTATCTTCTGTAATGTGTGCATTTTTAGAAAGGAATTAATATTTGCTAGCAATGATGGTGCTTCTGTTTTGTCCCTGAGAGGATAATGCCAGAAAAAAAGTGGTTTGAGAATGCTGCTGATATGTGAAAATTTGGAAGTCGATGATGGTTTCCTTATTAACATTTTATGATTTATAAAGTTCACATCTCTAACATTCAGAAAATATTCAAATGAGAAGTGATCTTTTTAGTATTGATAATAGTCCTACTTTGAGTGGAAAATTGTACTAAAATATATCTGTTGCAGCCCATATTTCTATGATTTTATGAATAATTACCTTACGAATTAATTCGTTCTGATTTTAAGTCTTCTGTCTCATATAGGTAGTAGTAATTCTTTAAACCATGTAAAACTTCATTTAAAAGAATGTGAAATATGCCTGATATGTGTCAGAAGTCATGGTATAGAGGTTCTTTTGAGAAAGAGCTGATGGAAGAAATCTGGGCAATTTTAATATAGTTTCTTTGATTTGTCATTAAAGAAAAGGAACAAATATGTTCTACTAAAGTTCCTCTGGAAACAGGGTAAATTTTATTTACTTTCACCTTAGATGCTTGGAAAAGTGCTGAGTTCTTCCTGTACTAAATCACATTTTTTGACATCATGCAGTTGAGTATCCATAAACTCATAATACTCAGGGAGAAGCTTGCTGCCAGGAGCAGAAACCCTGGAGTTTTTGAGATTTTTGATTCAGCAAAACCATTGACCTACCTTGGTGAAAGGATTCCAGGGTTTTCCTCCCATGGAGAATTTTAATAAGCTTGTTTTTCACTCTGGCACAGAACATAACTGAATTTTAAGGTTTCCATGGAATAGAATTAATGCCTCAGTGGAGAATGAAGGCTGACACAGTTATGCAATATATAACAGAAACCTCTGTAATAATCCATGATGATATATCTTTTTCTCTCACTCTTTCTGTGTGTTCTTAGGTATTGCACAGAGGTGAGTTACTCTTTTTTTTAAAATTTTATTTTTCGGAAGAATACTCATGATACTGCATTTGAATATGCTAAGATTTTTTGCTACATTTGAACCGGAAATAATTTTATTTTTGTAACGTCTTTATAAAAATATAAAAATATTTTTGTGATCTGACATAGAAATGTACCAAAATAACTCCTTGAGTTGTTAGTATATGGGGGATTGACTCAGAAACAAAACAGCTTCCTCAAATGTGAACGCAGTGTTTTGTTCTGAGTAAGACATGAAGAGAACAGTTAAGAAAAGGTCACAGCCAAAAGCAAAGAGGCACAGGAGGGTTTATTAGACAAATGGGACTATTTCTTCATTGCTGTGGTGGGCTGAAAAGTTATCTTACATAATTTTCTGTAGCTGAAAGTTGAACATGAATTATGCCTATCTTGTGCTTGTTGTTTGCTGTTAGAAGCATGAAGAAGGCTTCAGCAAAATGCCTGGCAATTTAACACAGTACCTGTGCACTCCAATAGCTGTCATGCACTTCCAGTGATTTTCTATTGGAAGTCTCATTAAGGTCTTTAAACTTAGGTGATCGTACTTTATACTATAGACAGAGATTTCTGAGGCTTTCTAGTGACAAGTAAAACAAAGGTATTTTATATTGCAGGATGTTTTGACATTCTCATTCTCTGTAGAAAAATGAGGCAAACACTGGAAAACACAAATATCTTGTTGGAAAAATTTGCAATACTTGCTTTCTATCAAAATATGAAAATATCTCAGCAGAATTCAACTGAACCTCAAGATTTCAGTCATCATAATTAAGTCTTTTATAGTCAAGTGAGAGAAATGGGCACTTCTAGGTGCAATCATAAACCATATATCCAAAATTATTGAGTTCAATTGTTCTGTAGAAATTTCCTGAGTTGGAAGGGAGCCACAAGGATCATCAAGTCCCTCTCTTAAGTAAATGGGCTATATGGAGATTGAATTCACAACTTTGGTGTTATTATCACCATGCTATAACCAACTGAGCCAGTAAAACACACTTGCTCCAATTAAAAAATGAAATTTTCTGATCTGCATTAAAATGACCCTGGATGACATATCTTGCTTGATTTTTCTGAATGAAAAATAACAGATTCCCAGTAAAAGCAATGTTTCTTTCCAGTGTTCTCAAAACTAACATTTTTCCTTAGAAAGCCATTAAATAAAAGTCACCAAAAAAAAAAAAGAAAAATTAGAGTGGATAGATTGAGGCTCTATACCTGTTAGCTAGTGGCACAACAGCATCAGGTGAGTTCTCTGTTGTTCCCTTGCAGAACAGAATGATGGGGATTGAATGGTGCTGCATGAAGAGCATTGCATTTGTGGGTTTGGGACCCAAGGGTAGGACCTGGCACTTTGTGGTGTTGAACCTCATAAAATTGGCCTTGGTCCATCAAACCAGCCTGGCCAGATCCCTCTAGAACTTTCCTGCCCTCCCTCAGATCCACAGTCCCTCAGCCCAACTCTGCAAACTGATTGAGGGTATGCTCAATTCCCTTGTCCAGATCATTGATGAAGATTTTAAACAGAACTAGCCTCAATACTGAGCCCTGGGGAACACCATTGATGACCAGCCACCAAATGAGAACATCTACATCTTTATGTACAATCAAAAGCGTACTCTTAAAGGGCTTTGATATTGTGGGGCAGTTTGTAGGATCTTGAGCCCTTGAATCTCCTCTTTGATGTGAAAGCCAGCCTATATCACATTAAAATGCAGAATAAAATTTTGTGTAAATTATGGAGATCAGCAACTGGAGATGAAGTTGTCTGGCCCTGAGCAGGGAGAGGTTTAACTGAACCTCTGAAAATGGGATAGCGGATCCTAAAAAAAGTCATGTTGAAAATTTTCAAATTAAGTTTCATGTATGCATATTGCATAGATATATTATTAGATAAACTCCTTATTAGATAATACATTATTAGATAACACTGTTATGTCACTATGACTTCTGCTGAAAATCAATGGACTTGCAAGATTTGTTCATCATTGTCAATAATCTTCATCAGTACAGATAAAACCTTCTGTAGCATCTTTATCACTTTTCTTGAAGCAGCTTAAGTTTCTGATTAACTATTCATCTTCTCTAATGTCTGAAGACAGGTCTAGGCAAGTTTAATTAAAAGCATCAGCTGAACAGTGCTGTAGAAGGTTCTGTGGGGCACCTTTCTGGTACCTTACTTCTCTCCTTGATGTTTAAAGGAATTATCCTGCTGAGGTTATTTTGTCAGATTTCTTTCAGACTGTCTTTCCCACATTTTGCAGTTCATTGCTGCAGTCTCTGATAATCTTACCACACTGAGTAGCTGCAGTTATTACCCTTTATATGAAGGATCTATGTTGAAAGCCAGTTATGAGTTTCTGTCCCAGTGGATTGCATGATGAAGTTGAAGCAGGCTGTCATCCAAAGCTGTATAATAGCCTCAGCTGGGAAATACAAAAGTGCCATGGATTATTGATAGAGTCATATCTGCAGTTCTGATGACAAATTTGATGCCTCTTTTGCTAGGTTTCTGTTATTAAGAAATACCTCTCTTAGTATGTCACCCCCTTCTCTCTCCCCACGTGTTCCATTTGGCTTGGCTTATGATTTGGCTTTGTGCCACATATGCAAAGTGAAAAATGGTATACTTAATAACCCTAATGTTACAAGGAAAAATTATGAACTTAACAAAGTTCTAATGATCTTAATTTGAAAGAAAACCCTAGAAGTATAAATTTAACAGACCATTTAAAGTTATTTTTTATTCTACTTTCAAAGTACTTCATAAAGCATTTAAATGCATAATTTTTCCTTATCTTGAATATCTATAATACAAAGGAAAAGAGAGAGAAAGGAGGATTATTCTACTAGTTCTTAATAGTTTAACTGTCATGCTGGTAAAATATCTCTTCATTTATTCATCGAAATTATATCCACACTAGTATAAAAAAATCTTCTTCCCCCTTCATTACATTATATGGCATAATTGTTATAAGGAAAATTGGAAATACAGTTTTGAAGATTTTATTGACACAACTACAAAAAGTTAATTATTTATATCACAGTGAAAACTCTACCATTGCTACCTGTGTGTTGCAGGTTTTCTTAGGTGAAACATAAGAATGTAAGTGGTAAAATAAGGTAAGTTATAATGGCAACAGGGATTCTGCAAAGCACATTTCGCTTCTCAGTCATCTATTCAGTCATGTAATGGAAGCATGAGATGCAGTATTTGGCTAAGACTGAAGAATGTGTCCAAGATGGAAATGTTGTGACAGAAGACACAGTGGTAGCAGTTAAGAAGACATGAAAGATGTCCTTGGTGTTTCAAAAGATGTGACATCAAGAACCAATTAGTTAAAAAGCGTCTTGGCTAATCATTTTCAGAGAAGGGAGACACCACTGCTGAGGGCAGTGATCATTCACCACCTCTGCTCCAGATCACGAAAGGTTTTGACTGCTCCCATTTGCAGTATTCAGTCCTTTCTCAAACACAGAGGATCTGACTGGTGTTGCTGATCATCAGTGTGTTAAGACATAAGGAGCTTGTGCCACTGGCTTCAGATCTGAGAGGGGCCAGTTGAGGTCTACTAGAATGTCTTAAAATGAGGCTGGAATATTGAATGCTGACCTGCCCCTTTTACTAACCCTTTTTGTTAAAAAAAAAAAAAAAATCCAGAATAAATGAGAAAAGAAATAGGACAAAAAAAGGAAAGCCATCCTGATGTTAATAAAAACAATGACTGAACAAGGGCAGGGAGATCAAGTTTTCACAGTGCTTTAATCAAGTGAAGTTTTGTTAAAGACCAGATATTCCAAAAGACTCCTTGACATGTGAGTACCTAAGTACCTGTCAGTGGTAAATCAATTACATTGTGCCAAATGTCCCTTGTGCAAGGGAGCATTAAAATATTCTGTTTAGTGTATAAATGCTGTGGGAATAACCCTTCATTTATTAATTTTGAAATAAGTATTTGTACAAAAGTTACTTGGGTAATTTTAACACATTGCCCTCTGAGATGAATCAGAAATATGACAAATATGCCTCACTATCCTGTGTTGTGTGTCATTTGTGTCGTGCTGCTTTGGCTACCAGCAGAAGAGGGGCCTGTTGGCCTGGTACAATCAGACTGCTGTTCTCCAGGAACATGGAACTCCAGGGAGGGAGAGAGAACTTGCTTCTTCTTGAAAACTCATGCAGAAGGGACAGTCTTCTCAGCATGTTGGGGAATAAGGAACTGAGGAGGAACATGGGTGATCTGGAAGCCTGTAGAACAACAGAGATTGGGCAAGGGAAAGTCATGTATCTATCCTTCAAGGTGAAAGACTGCAAACTGTCTTTCTAGACAGCCAAAGATGACAGTGGAGGTTGCAGCAACCTATGAAAAAATTGCACAGGTTCTGCACTGAGCAGATCTGAAGGAAAGACACCAGCTTGCAAGAAGAAATGTATCCTTCTAGTTTTCTCCTTTTTGCAAAGAAAAAGGAAAAAAATCTTTGCGTTCACTTAGCCTTGGTATTCTTATGAGAAAAATATGTAGAATGCAGTATCAAGGTTTATATGTCTCAGGGACCCATCAAGAACATTGTGATGATACCTTGAAGGAATGTGTGTGGATTGCATTCTTTTTTATGGTAAACACAAGCATAAGGCAAGTACCTAAAAGTGTTAGCCTGTTGTCTGCCCCACCTATGTTTTCATAAGTATTAAAAAGAAAAGTCATTAAAAACATGTGATTTTGGATACAGGATGACTTGGATGGATACACTGAGGTATTATTGCATAAACCAGTGAGAAATGGTATCTGAGTACATCTACACGCCTAAACATTTCTGTGTGTTGTGTGCATGTATTTGCAGACTTTTACACACACAGACACACATTGAGATTCATTATTGTAGCTGTACACATGTATCTCACTGGTACACAACCTTTTATCATAAATGAGATAACATATCTTTTCTCTAGCACTGCTCTTTTAAAACAAACAAAAAAATTGCATTTAATCACAGTTTAATCTTTCAGGTTTTGCACAAGAAAATATTCCAGGAGAATTCAGAACAGCATATTGTAAGTCCTTGTAGAGGACCTCCTTTGATAAATACATCATATCTTTTAAGATGACATATTCTGGATGAGCACAGATAGACTGATAAACTGCATAATTATGTCCAAGAACATTCCTGAAAGACCTGTGCAGAGCATATGAGGTAATGTTTTCTATATTTTTTCCAAGTACTATGTTGCCATTCTCTCAAGAGCTGATCTGCTCAAAGAGCAACTGCAGAGCATGCACAATGGATTAATGGTGAGAATTTCATAATCCTGTTAGTGAATACTGAAATGCAGTATCTAATGGAAGGTAGTCAAGTATACTTTTACATACAGTTTTATTTTCCCTTGCCTTCTTTCTCTGTTACTGAAATATTAAGTAATTCAGCCTTATTTTGTGCAACTGTTGGTAAGGAATTGGCAGTAAAATTCAATATATCCTCATGTTCTAATAATTCTAATAATATACTAATGAATTTTTTAAAAATGGGGTTTTGTTTGTTTATGTTCCATATTTCTGAATTAGTGTTTGCGGAACATGAGAATTCTGCCAGCTGATATGTCAGACTGCAGGTTGTCCCAAATTAATTCATATTATTAAGACCTGTGCCTGATGTCTTTTGTCCCCACTGACTGGAGTTTCTTAGGAAAATTTGTGTCAAGAATCCCCAAAGAGGGCATGGATGCAGATGTATTCAAGAAAGACTTCCAGCCAGCTCTTTGGTTGTGATCTGTTGGCTGCCTGCAGCATCTAGACTGATGGTTGGTACCAATAAAGCTTCCCCAAAGGAGGCAGCAGCAAAGTAACCACAATGTGTTTGGGGTTTTTTCTTCTTCTTTTTTTTTTTTTTCTTTCCCTTCCTTTCAAGACTGCCATGTAAAGGAGTCAATGTGGTGATTTAAAACTAGGACTCGTTTGATAAAGAATAGTGCAGCTGATTTCTCTGTAGAGAATTAATA